AATGTAAGGAAATATAAATGACGACAAGTGTTATATCAAGTATACACTTAAGCTGATTCTTAACAAGGATTGCAATCAAACCAAGTAAGTAAATGAGATCAGACTTAGAGTGATGAAGTCAAGACTGACTTACTCAGAAGAGAGAGATTATATCAGTTAAAGTTCGAAGGATCTTTGGAGATGAGAAAGTAAGAAAATAAATAGAATACGATATTCATGATAAAGATAATCGAGAGAGGTGGTTTCATTCAGAATAAGAGAGCTCTATTTATAGAGACTCGAAGATTACAAAGTTAAATATGTCTAAGGTGGCCATGCAAGGCACACTGGGTAAAGTAATGTAAAGACATAAGATAACAGATAAAACTAAAAACTAAGACTGATGATGTCGACTGTGGATGCGGTTCTAGATTGCGGTGGGGATCTTGACTGCGGATCGGAGATGGCTTCGGTTTTGTCAAGTTTAAGAGGGTCACTTTTATGTTTCAACACTACGTCATTCTGTTGTGGAGTGTAAGGATCATAAAAGTTATGTGTGACTCCTTTTTCAGCAAGAAATTCTTCAAACGCTTGTTTTTTGAATTCTAGCCCATTGTCACTGCGAACGTTGCGAACCAGCTTTCGCAATTGAAGCTCGATTTGCTTGATGAAATCCTTGAGCTTTGGCGTTGCATCAGATTTCTTTCTAAGAAAGAACACCCAAGTGAAACGTAAAAAATCATCTACAATGACTAGAATATACTAACTACCACCATCGCTTTCAATAGCTTATGGTCCACAAAGGTCGATGTGTAGAAGTTCCAAAGGTTCGATGACTTTCGTGTTCACGATATATGGATGACTTTTTCTACTTTGCTTTCCCATCGCATAGGCAGCACACAAATGATCCTTGTCGAATTTCAATAGAGGAAGTCCTCGCACATAATCACCAAGAACGAGCTTGTTGATGTCTTTGAAGTTTAAGTGCGAAAGTCTCCTATGCCATAACCAGCTTTCGTCTGAGCGGGCTTTTGTAAGCAGTCAAATGGTTGGCTTCCCTCGTATTGGGTTTAGATTTAACTGATACATCTCACCCTTTCTTTGTGATTTTAGAAGAACAGACTTGGTTTTCTTGTCAATGATTTCTGATCCTTCGACATCAAATGACACCTTCAATCCAGTCCCCATAACTATCTGCGAGACACTAACAAGGTTGTAATGTAATTCTTCAACGTAATCCACTTTGGGAATTGAGAAGTCTCCATGCGTTATCATTCCATAGCCTTTTACTCTTCCAAAAGAGTTATTCCCATACTTTACATTTCCACCATCCTTAAGAGCCCTGAACTCTCGTAGCTCCTCCTTCCTTCCTATCATTTGACGCGAACAGCCACTGTCAATGTACCATTCAGTGTCGAACTGTTCGTCACGAATTACCTGCAAAAGTTAAGCAGATTCAGTGTCGAACTGTTCGTCACAGAAGAAGAAAAACTAAGGTCAAGATCAACCAGATACGTTCGTTTAATGAGTGTGGTTTTCTCTTTTCGTTTGATGGTAAAAACATTGATTTTGTTATCTTTTAAGTTCGTTTCTTTAGAATCAGAAGATTTGTGCTTGGTGTTAGCTTGATTCTTAACTGACTTCTTTTCAGTTTCCTTAGGGTTAGCATTCGTTGTCTTGGTTGAAACTTTCGGCTCTGAAACTAGCTTTCCCTTGCCCTTGATGTCCTTTGGTGTAGAAGGCTTTGCTCTTTCGATTGGATTCTTTGTGAAGAAGGGTTTTGGAGTCCCCTTTTGCTGAGAGTCCCTTGAACCACGAGAGCAGCAATGCGAACATTGACTGGGATTTACCTGTGAAGGTACTTTCGCATTGTGATTAATCCTTCTTTCATTGAGATTTCTTTTATATCTCTCGTTTCTTTGTCGTTTTTGATCTGCAAGTTTCTTAGACGACTTGTGAATGTTCACATTTGGTTTTTGTTTTCTCACACTAGATTCGCTCTTCACTGGTTTGGATTCGCTGCGAACTTCTTTGGTACCACTTGGGCTACCTTTTTCAAATGCTGAGCGATTGTTTATGGGTTCAGCTACGTATCTTCCCTTCGTTCTCCATGAGGTCCTTTCAGATAAACCAACGGTTTCATCAGCATTATCTATTGGGGCTGACCAGAAGAACTCATCGCAACCATCCTTGTTATCCTCATCGACAATAGACTTTAATTCGACAGTTTGAGTTTGGATCACTCCATTAACTTTAAAAATTTGATTTGGGGTAGTTTGGACCTTTGGAAAAACAGTTGCTTTTTCTTTCAAAAATTTTGGATTATTTTGAAAAATTCTTGCGAACTCAACAGAATTTTCAGAAATAAGAGCTTTCACATCTTGAGGTTTGTTTTTAACGAATTCTGAGCAGTCAACCTCATCCTCTATGGAGATCTCACTCATATCACTATCCTCATCAAATTCAGAAGTTTTTTCAATATTCAATTTATTTTCTAAACTCAACTTGGCATTCAATGAGTCAAATTTATGTACAGTATCAGATTTAATCTGCTTTTTATCATTCTCATCCAAAATTTGTTTCAACATATTTTTATGATCCTTGGACTTAATGTAATTTTCAATTCGTTCAAGTCCATATTTTTACGCATCAGAAGTTTTTAAGATGAAACGATGGTATCGCATTTGTAGCAGTCTGCGTCTATTTCGTCTTCCTTTAATTCGAGAAACGGCAAAATCATCTTGTGGATTTTCTTGCCAATATCACAATCAAGGTGCAGTTGAGTGATATTAAAGTAAAGCCTTTTTGCAAGTAAACAAAAAATGTTTCGCTGTTTCAAAAGCATACGATTATCTCTTTTCAAATAAATAGATTCATCCCTAGACATAGACAAATCCGACTCGATCTTCTGAATCCACATACGCCTCTCATCACTCTTGGATGTTGCCCTGCTCAATTGATCATTCAGGTTAAAGTTTGTCAACCGGGTTCGCTTTAAACTATCACTTATACTTGAAAAGGTGAATTTTAAGTCGCTTAACTCAGTTTCATATCTAGATACAGGAATATTAAGAGACTCGAGAATGGAATTTACCTTATTGGTCAGCTGTTCGCACTCATTGATTTGTTCTGAAACAGGTCGTGCGGCAAAACAACTATCATCACCTCTCTCACTTCCACTAGCACTCTGCTGCATTTGCAAACCTTCACCAGTTACCATCAAACATCTTCCTGAGAACTGCGAATTTGTTTCTTTCGCTACGAACGGCCTTCCATGTGTGGGCTTGCGAACCTCGTCATGTTCTAAGTCTGTCGACCATACTTCTACTCCTCCAAAGTCGCCTTTAGCCATATTTTCCTGCACAATCAACGCAGACATAGAGTTATCATTAGTTTTCTTCTTCTTGATCTCCTAAAGCTTTCTCAGATGGTAGGCTTCCTCATCCCCAGTCAGTCTTCGCAGCATACACTCCTTGGCAAGATGGATTTTGCCATGACAATAGTTACAATCATATACGGAGTCACCAACCAGCTTTTTCTCCTTCTTCTCTTCCTCTTTCTGAGAACCACTCATGTGCTTCTCTTTCACTTTCTCTGAGCTATAGCTTCCCTGCCAGTTTCTGTTTTTGCTTGAAGGAAACTTCTTCCTAGCAAATCGCTTAGGATTTGACACCATTAAAGCGAAATCTTCGTTTGAGATCTCATACTCAGAGTGATCTGATCCAGATCCGTCATCAGTAATTGTATTGCCCTTCGCCACCAAGGCTAAAAACCCCATGCCAGAAACCACCTTCGCTTCTTTCGTCACTTCACTTTTCGTGCCTTCAGAATACCCACGAGCTTCGCAAGAGTATAGTTCTTGAACTGTTCGTGCGCTTTAACAGTTGACACTATTGCCTTCCACTCTAATCGTAGTCTGTTCATGAACGTGACCTTTTTCTCAATCAGTTCACATCCAATTCCATACTTCATTATTTTGCTGAGAAGATGATTATATCGATTGAACGTGGCATTCAGTGTTTCTTCATGATTTTGAATGAATTCGCCAAACTCGGATAGCAAGAGCGTTTGAGTTGAATGCTCTAATTCTGCATCTATGGAGTAGAGCTCTTTCAACCTATCCCAAATAGCCCTCGCGGTGTCACAAGAGCTCACGAGACGGAAAGTATCTGCTTGCATAGCGAATCTGATGATTCTCATTGCTCTAAAATTTCTAGTGAGTTTGTCTTTCTCGTCTTGAGGCACGTCCTTCACATCAATGAGCAGTTGGTTGTATTCTTTCTGGGTTTTGATTTTTATTTTGGTCGTTGTATGAACAAAAGGACCTAGAGTGATTGCCTCCCAAATCAGATAACTATTATCATCAGAGCCTAGAACATAGTCTTCAAAGTGGAGCGCCCAGACTTCATATTCATGAGGAAAAAGAATCGGGATCCTGGTTGTTGATCCAATGTTGCTTGAGATATTCAAGGAGTTGGTGTTGGAATCGTTGTGCTGCATGGCGAAAAACTTTTCGATACCTGTAATGAATCAGACGTATAAACAAAGATTGTTTATAGGGTAATATCAAGATCTCTTTGAGCCGTCAGAATGATGTAGAAGACGACTGAGTTAGATCCTATATTAACGGAAACCCTAAAACTCTATAAACAGAAGAGATGCGTATAGATTACACAGTCTCCTTCTCTGATACCAATTGATAGGATTAAATCCTTAGAGAACGAATAGATTTAAACAGGTAATAATAAGAACACGATATTGATTAAACTGGTGCTGAATGATTAACAGTCACGCCTCAGAAGAACTCGATGAAGAATTAGTTCTGTAGAGGCGTAAAATAGGGTTACAATGACAATATCAGAGTTGATAAAAATAGATGCATGCATGCACCTTATATACTCTAACCCTAGCAATAAATACGAGTGGACAGGCCCAACTCGTTTATACAAACGGACTAAACAAACATGCCCAATGACGCAATACATAATACTCAACATAAAGAGAATAAAAAAATGAAGGTTTTAATAAATGTCAACACCTGTGTTTGCATGTACAGTTGTCATCAAACCTTCAATGATACCGAACTCATCATGAACCACCTATATATAAAAACAAAAAGAGAACCATTATATAAAAAACATTAAGAGTTGTTTCTTTTTGAATTAAGCATTTAACCATTCAACCATTATATCCATACATACAGGAAAAGATAAGTACCTTGGCTAAAGGGGCTAAGCAGTTAGTAGTACAGTTGGCATTGGATATAATATCCATGTTTGGTTTGTATGTGGTCTCATTTACCCCTACAACAAACATGGGCGCATCAGCTGATGGAGCTGAGATCAGCACCTTCTTAGCACCACCCTGCACATCGAGTCATTCACACCAAAAAAATCAGCCCAGGGGTATAAACGTCTTTTAGAAATGAACCAAAATTTGTTGGTTTACATTTACCTTCTTGTGGCTAGATCTCTGAATATAGTCAGCTCAAAAATCATCCCATGGAATTGTGGTTGGATCTCTGAACAAAACGTGAGTTTTATTTCTTAGGATAAATACAAGTAAATTCATAAGTAACAAAAGGGATAAATATATACCTTTGGCTAGTTACTTTTATTAGCTTCCTATTTATTTCTAAAGTGGACTCATCAATAACCTTGATGGTTCCTTTGAATAAGCCATGAGTAGAATCATACTTCACCAAGTAAGCCTAAAAAGGTCAATCATAAATCATGAATCATCTCACAGTTATCAATTGAAGTAATTTTTACAAAATCATCATATTCTTAAACCCTTACCATGTACTTGCAATCAATAAAAGGGTCGTTGACTACAACAACCTCAATATCGTCTCTAAATGTTGCTATTCTCAAAACTAACCTTCCAATTCGTCCAAAACCTGCAAGGTTGATGTTCTTTAAATTCTACCCATACGCAGAAACATTAAGACCATTATTTTCATTATTTTATCTGATGAAGTATATGTTCAAAAGTAAATCTGGAAACATCGAGTGAAAAACCTAAGAATTTTGAGAAAGCATACCATTGATTCCAACCTTGGTCTTCCCTCCGGTACTGGTCTCTATGTAAAATCAAAGCAGGGAGAATTTGTTACAGAAAAATTTTAAAAAGTAGCTTCAGTATAAGATCGACAAGATAGAAGGCATGCTATGAACGCTTATACAACTTCTTACTTGAAACAACAAGAGGTGCCTGAGTGGCAGTGGCTTTGATTGGCTGGATACGGAATACATGTGGTTTCCTGCGTGATTAATTTCATAGAAAAAGAAAGGGACACAGATGGTGAAAAAACCTAAAAATGAAAACAAAACTCAACTGTGAAGACGATGACCATGACCTTCGTCACCACTACCAATTTAATACTATTTCACCAAAACTTTTTAGTGGTGTTGTTGAGGAGTGTCGAGATCATGATAGAGTAGGGCTTGTAAACCAAGATATACCTTAATCTAACCTAGGGCTTGCAAACTTGAGCAATCGTTGCAGTCTCTGGTGTGGTGAAGTGAGCCCGAGGTCGCTGACGGAAAGAGATGAGCCGTGGTCAGAGGTGATTTGAGGTAGAGTACTCCTTGAAAAGTCCCTAGATAATCATACTTTCACGTCAGCGAGGATGTGAACCTGAAGCGGGCCATCAATTCTTAACTCCACGCCAGAGTACTTGATCTGAGATACGAGCTTGGTTGCGCGAAGGTTGTCAGCTGGTGGCGTGCCTATTGTTTCCTTGATCGACGTCGACGACCGGGAATGGCCAGTAACGATGGTCGAAGTGTGAGGGAAGAAGTAGGCGGCAGTCAATGTCGGAGGGGGAAGGAAGGAGCGTTTATAATTAGGGTAAGAGGGAAAGGAAGAAAAAGGAAGGCGGGGTTTTTAATTTTTTAGGATTTCATTTTCCCCCAGGCTATTAAAGGATGGAATGCACGTTTCCATTAAAATTTATAAAGCGACATCCTCAGACGACACACATTTTATTATAGGCGCCCTCTGTGTTTTTCTTGTTTAGACAGTAATTTAAGGGCACGAAAAAATGTGCGTCCTAAATCCTTAAAATTTATAAAGAGATGACATTATTTTTAGGTAACACACTTTTGCGTATCGTAAATCAATGCGTATCATAAATTGCACGTCGTAAAAGGTTGTTTTTCTAGTAGTGTAAGTTTGATAAATGTGACTACCTCCTTCTCCCGTATATGAAGAAAGGATTCAGCCTCTATCCATTTCGAGAAGTAGTCTGTCATTACTAGCATGATTACCTTTCCACCAGGAGCTTTTGGTAACTTGCCAACTATATACATTCCCTATTTCATGAATGGCCAAGGGGAAATGATATGATGCAATGGTCCTGTAGGTTGATGGAGGATGTTGCTATGTATTTGGCAAGCATCAAATTTTTGTACTTATAAGAAGGCATCTTTTTTCATTATTGGCTAGTAGTATCCCATCCCCAATACCTTGGAGCATAAGGATCTGCCCCCAATGTGATTGCCACAGTCCCCTTCATGTATGTCTTTTAGGACTTCTTCAGCCACGTGATTTTCTAAGCATCTAAGGTATGGGCCTGCCATGGCTTTCCTGTATACTTTGCCTTGGATCATCACAAATCGTGACACCCTTAAATTGAATGCTCTGTCACTTTTCTCTTTTCTTGGAATCTTGCCATTCTGGAGATATCTATAATGGGCTAGATCCAGTATTTCGAGATTTGAGGAGGATCTTGGGTGTTGGGATCCTGACAAATAGTATCTTGAGGAAGTGATTAAGGGTTAGGATCTTCAACTATTGTTACATTTGTTGTTTGATCATGGTCATTAGGATTGCCTGGTTTGTTTGAGGGATCATCTATCGCTGGGATCAATATATGGGTTAGAGGGATCCTGACTTCTGGCGAGATACTAAGGGAAGATCCTAGATTGGCCAGTGTGTCTGCCTAATCATTTTCTTTTCTGGGAACTTGGCTTAGACTGAAAGCTTCAAATGGAGGATAATTTTTTGAGGATCTGGAGGTATTGTGCTAGTCTTTTGCCATTTTACTATAGAGGATCCATTAAAATGATTACTTAATAATAAGTAATCAAGGAATACCTGAAGATCCTTGACTTTAAGATCCTTGGCCAACTGTAATCCTATGATCAATGCTTCGTATTCAGCCTTATTGTTTGTTGCATCGAATTCATAGTTGACTGCCTTGGGTATGATGTCCCCATGTGGCAATTTTAGTATGACCCCTAGGCATGTTCCTCTAAAGTAGTAAGATCCAACAGTGAAGAGAGTGTCCATTTTCCTATGCTTCTTCTTTTTGGAGTTCATTGCTTTCCAGTTCTGCTTCAGGTTGTAGATCATCACTGAAATCTGCAACAAAGTCTGCTAGTGCTTGTGATTTTATTGTTGATCTTGGTTCATATTTGATGTCATATGTGCTCAGCTTCACTGACCACTTTGCCATCCTACCCGACATCCCTGCTTTTCGCATAACATTCTTAATGGGATAATTAGTTCTTACATGTATAGTATGTGTTTCAAAATACTGTCTTAATTTTGTTGAAACAGTTACTAATGCAAGTATTACTTTTTCAAGATGGGAGTACTTGGTCTCAGGATCCAAGAGACTTTTACTTACATATTAGATGGGACGTTGGCCTCCGTTAAGATCCTTAGCTAAGATAACACTTACAACATTAGAGGATACTGAGAGGTATAGGAGGAGTGGTTCCCCCTTTAGTGGTTTCATCAACAAGGGTGTTGAACTAAAATAATTTTTAAATTCCTGAAAAGCGTCTTCGTGCTCTTTAGCCCACTCAAACTATTTGTTCTTTATGAAGATGTCGTAGAAAGGTTTACATCTCTTTGAGTATCTTGAGATTAACCTGTTTCGTGCTGCTACTCTTCATGTTAGTCTCTGAATATCCATTGTCGGGGATGGGGATCTTAAATCGATGATGGCCTTTATTTGCTCTGGACTTGCTTCTATTCTTCTTTTTCTCACCATGTATATGTTTTGGTCAAAAAATAATCGAACAAAAATAGACCAAAGTGTATGAGAGGCTGTGATGTTCAGTGTAAAACAAGTATGTAATATAGCTCAAAGCAACACAATTCGTTTGCAAGGAAAGCCCTTGACCCTTGCTAAGATATCCGACATAAAACCTTGGGAGGTGATAACGATCACCTGCCTTGATGTCTTTATTGATTGAAATGAATAATTACAGAGTAGATGTAATGAGTACAAGTACAAGTGCTAGTATTCTATCAATAAAATCGTGTGTTGTGTGATGAATACAGGTGATATATATATATATATATATATATATATATATATATATATATATATATATATATATATATAGTCTAAAGCTAATAACAATAATCCCGAAAATTTTGGGATCCTCCGAGATCAACTTATAGTCGTTGCATGACTTGGTCCTCCGGGTCTTTTGCATAGTTGTGACTATTCGTTGAGACTTTGACTAGTTATTTCTGCACATGTGAGAAAGAAAATAGAATATATAATCAAATAATAAAAACTATCAGTTATGATCCTGGAGTATATTCGGGATCCTGAGATTTGAGGATCCTGAGCTTTTGAAGTTCCTTAGACTTGAGGATCCTATGGTAGTTTCAGGATTCTAGCCCTAACAATCGCCCCCAAGTTATTCCTGAAAATAAGTGACTTAGTTTCCAAAATATTGAAGGGATAACTTAAAGTGAATAAATAAAAAAGATATTATGGTAATTTTCGAATTTAACCCTTAACGGCTAGGATAATTCAAATTCCAACGGGTGAATAAGTAGCCGTTACAAGCAGTCAAATCAGTTGTTCCTGTAGTATCAATAGGGATTATTAGCTCTTCAATTTCTTTACTTTTCCCTGCTATCTTTCAGTTATCATTGATTTATTTGAAGGTAATTCTCTTTTATCTTCTATATTTTTACTTCTTTCGTCATGGGTAGAAAAATGGTCGTCTCTCGCAAGAATATCTTGGCTCTTCCCGAAGATGACTTCATCGACCAAGGAATTCTTTCTTCCGACGAGATATGTTCCTTTGGTGATGATGACATTGAGTCTTTGAGACTCAGTGGATCCTTCCTTTCTGAATCCGTTTTTAGTCCCTTTGATCCTCTAATCCAACCTGACTTTATTTCTCCTACCAGGGTATGCTACCCCCAATATCCATTCTCCCAGGGGTTGAAATACACTTTCCCTAGAATTGTCTCTGAGTTCTTCAAGGTGACTGGGATTTCATATATTCAATCCATTCCGATCATTTGGAGGATCCTATATTGGATCGACCAAGTGAATCAGTCAAAATACCTTGATAAAGGTCTTTCTGAATTGGCATGTATGCATGATCTTATGACGTTAGGGAATTCTCGCTTTCTTCTCAAAGTCAAAACCCATAAATATTCTCTTGTATTAAAGACCAAACACAGCGATGTAACTTGGAAAGAAAAATACATTTTTGTGAGACGTGACTTCGTTCTTGGTGGGGATCTCCTGTCGGATGCTTGGGTTAAGAAGGGTAGGATTTTATTATACTAATATAAGGATCCTAGAATTCACTTCTTCTTATTTTGTTTTCTTTTTTGCAGCTTTTAAATTCGAAGAGCTTGTTCCCGTCGCTCAAGATTCAGAAGAGAAGATTGAAAAGTTTTTGGCCTTATCTGAAGCCGAGAGATCCTTCCAATTCGAACAAGCCACTCTTCAAGAAAGCTCGTCTGCTACTGATCTCATGGCGACCGGTAAGGATCCCTGATTGTTTTAGTTTGTCATGAAGGATCTTAACATTTTACTGTTATATGTAGGATCCAAGATTACCCGCGCCAGCGCCCGCTTCACACTTGCTGATCTTGGCACAGCTATGTCTAGGGATCAGCTAACAGTGAAAAAGGAGAAGAGATCGTCTTCTCTTCCTCCCAAAAGATCGGACCTGACTTAATCGTGAAAACTCTGCGATCCCAGAAAAGGAAAATTGTTGAGTCTGTAGGTCTATCTTTGTAGAACCATGGAGTTGAGGATGTGCTCCAAAATTTGGTCTCTTTCTCCCAAGCTGTAAGTGTTGGTTTTATTCTCGTCCTATATTCTACTTTTTGTTGATCCACTATGTCTCCATTTCAGGTTTCTGATCACATTTCTGCTGATTTGAGGGTCTAATCGGAGAGGGCTGAACAAGTCCTTCAGGGACAGGAGAGGATGTGGAAAGCAACCAACGAGGATCTGTTGAGGAGAGTGGAGCTGCTT